CCCTATGAAGCGGTATATAAGTCTAACTGCTGTTGCTATTGCTAACTTCTAAATATTTTCCGGAAGACCCAACGCTGAAATGAATGAGCGATGGTGCAAAGGGAATCCACTTGTTAGATGGCTAATATGTTCAAATGGATAATATTAGATAACAACGGTCAGTTTGTTCCCTGAGTTGTTTAAAAATAGTGCGTATATCTGTGTGTTTGTGTGTCTGTGTTGTTGCACACATGGCAACACACAACTGGGCGGCTAATACATTCCAGTGAAGAATATTATAGGTTGTCCTCGAGTTACCACGGTTAAGCACAAAATTTCCATTGCCGAGCAAGGCAGCTGTTAAGTGAGTTTTGCCCCATTTTACAACCTTTCTTGCTATAGTTGTTAAGTGAATCACTGCAATTGTTACGGTAGCCAAAATGGGTGTTGAGTGAATCTGGTTTTCTGGTTTTGTCAGAAGGTCGCAAAAGTGGATCCCATCACGTGACTCTGGGACACTGCAACCGTCGCAAATATGAGGCAGTTGCCAAGCGTCACATGAAGGTGTGGATGTTACAACGATTGTAAGTGTGAAAAACTTGTCATAGGTCACTTTTTTCATGCCTTTGTAACTTCGAACAGTCACTAAACAAAATGTCATAAGGCGAGGACTCCCTCTACCTTCAAATGAGGAATATTAAGTATTGGTTTTTCTGTCCTTTCCCCAAGTTGGTTAGAAGATGTGGGTGTAAATTCTGGAGCAATTGTGGGGACGTTATTCCTTCTCTGTTATTCTAGGTTGCCCATGGATAGCATCTGCAGTGCTCAAGGGGGGGGCATAGCAGCAGGCACCCCCCATCCCACCCCAGCCATTCCAGAGCCTCGGATGGCACAGGGACAATCCTTCCCCCGTTTCAGGCCACGATAACCGGCCAGGATCCTCCGTGTCCAAGATGGGCTGGAGGGCCCCGGAGCGAAAGAGAAACATAGCTCAGCCCTTCTGAACGAATCCTTCCTTCGGCCTTTCGTAGTTTTTAATAATTCAGCATGAAAATAATGCAGGGGGAAAATAATTTTAATAGCACAGGATGAGAAGTGTTCACTTGGACTGTTGGACTGGCAGGAATGGCCCTTTCCTACTGAAGAGCAAAAGGAATATTTGGATCAGGTACACACACACACACACCAGCATCGCTATGGATTAATCCAGTTGGCATCTCCTGGCCCCTTACATAAACCACTTTGGTCTGCCCTTAAATTTGGGGCTGCCCAATCTTGGGAACCTTAAGATGTGGACTTCCACTCCCAGAATTGCCCAACCAGCCATGGTCGGAGAGCACCAAGGACCCCAGAATCTCCTCCTGCTCCTTTTCTTCCCTTCAGATGCTCCCCCCCTTCTCTCTGATAGCCCCTCAAATATTGGAAGACTGCTATCATGTCATCCCTCGTCCTTCTCTTCATTAGACTTTCCCAGTTCCTGCAACGGTTCTTCATAGGACTTAGCCTTCTCCAGTCCCTTAATCTTCTCTGTTGCTCTTCTCTGCACTCTTTCCAGAGTCTCCACCTCTTTTTTTACATCATGGCGACTAAACGTGGATGCAATATTCCAACTGTGGCCTTACCTTATAAAGTGGTATTAACACTTCGCGTGATCTTGATTCTATCCCTCTGTTGATGCAGTCTAGGATTGTGTTGGCTTTTCAGCCCTGGACTAATTGTAAAGGTATTTGATGTGATTTTGGGGTGATTTTGCGTCTGCTTTTCCATGTGATTTTTCCTCCCTTCAGCTCAGAAAAATTAAGGAGTCAATTTTAAAGTGGAAATATTTAGCTGGTCAGTCCCAGCAGCCTCTCGCTGAATTCCCAGAGCTTCTTGGCCAGCTGGTCACCACAGGCCAGTGGACTGGGCACCTTCGGCCGGCAGTCCGCGAAATACCGCCCGCTCAGCCCCTCGATGCCCTCCTCGGTGGCGCAGTAGATGGAGGTCTGAGCCCCAGCTTTGCTATTTCGGACAAACAGTTTGGAGGACCAAACCAGCCAAAGTGTCCACCAGGGATGGGAGCGAGTAATTTCGGTTTTAACAACTCCTGAAATCAAAAGCAGAGAGAACATGCCTGGGATGGGGTTGGTAGGGTGGGGGGAGATCCCAAATGTACCGTTTGCACAATAACTATTTCCCACCGGGAACCATGGCACAGTGGCGCAGTGGTTAAATGCAGGACTGCAGGCTACTTCAGCTGACTGCAATTCTGCAGTTCGGCTGT